AGTGCAGCCATTGTGCCACAAACGTCAAGTCTCTCCCGCATGTCATCCTGTATCGCCATCCCAGTATTTGTGTCGATCTTCTAACGTATCTTAAGCACGAGACTTCCGTTGGGCTGACAATCTTATTCACTATTCATCTCATAGACTAGTAGTTCTTATATTCATTTTTTCAGACGCAGTATACAAAAAAAACAAAGTTCATATCCTGGTCATTTTGCTTGGTTTTGCAGTCAACTGTGAGTTAAACGATCTGATCGAATCCATAAAACGAAAACACGGGCTATGTCCACAGTCGATTAAACCCGACTGGTCGCTGACAGACAGCGGTGGGTAACTTTTAAAACACCGAAGAATCCACCAAGATACCCTTAGTGGTCTGCCTTGAAAAAATCATGGCAGTGTGTACACAAAAGTACCTCTTTCTACACTTGAGATTGAAGAAAGTCGCAGCATTACTGACGCCTAAAGAAGTTATCTTCGTGATGATTCATTCAGGTCATGCAGTAGGACAATTTGCCGTCCGACGAAAAAGATCCCATGTTGACCACAGGACGCAAAAGTCCCTGAATGGTAGACACATTTGTGGCTCCCGATGAGTCATTTTCGTCCACATGAAGACTCAGGTTCGCCTCTTCAGATGAAGGAAGTTTTATTAAGAAAGCGCATAACGGATATTGTAGGGGCAAGCTAAATTGCTATGGGGAGACTTATTCATGCGCTGAGTTCCACGTACATTCCAGCACATTGAACATGCATCACAAGTTTGAAGAACGAATAACATTTTTTGTATTGATAATCACAGATTGAATCCCCAGCTGTTTGTGATGGGTATCACAACAAACCATTGTAGACCCTTTCGTGCTGTTCGTCACAAAGTTTACACGGTGCAATTCTCAGGTCTTAACCAAGATCCCATTTTGGAAATACGGCCATTCCATGCTGGAGAGTCAGCAAACATCACAGTTTCGTTTCAGTTAAGTATCGGGACCAGGGCGTATCCTTTGAAAACTTCTGTGGATTCTTTATTAGACAAAAAGAGAGCCAGTGGTAATCTGATTGGAACTGAGCGAGTTTAGAATCAGCCATGCTATATCATATCTACGGTGGTCACGTGATTGGTATTTGTTGTAGCTAATAGCCGTCCCTGTACTTTAGTGTCGCAAGAAAAATCGGCTTCATTGGAAACAAGCGAGTGCAAAATTTACAAAAGGGCCCGGTCTATCTTAGGCGCAGTTTTGCTATCGATCCAGGCTGCCTGACGGGAGTTTTTGGTGAGCAACCATCATATTGTCGACCGTGAGTCAATACTCACTAACGTCGGGCGTTGCTAAAGCTGGTTTCTCTGGCCTAGATGCTTCACGACTTTCCTGTTGTGATTTTGGTCGGGTTTGAAGTTTTCACTTGGTTTCAGGTACTCTGGAATCCCCTGAGTTTAGTTTATTGTTATCTGGGGGAAATCCGAGAGTCCTGATATGCGCATCTTCACGCGATCTCATTCGCTCCCAAAGGATTACACTACGTAGTTGAATTAACAGGTGATATCGGGTTGTTTGTCCTTAGATCACAAGTTTGCAACAAGTTTTGTCGCCCGTAAATTTCATTTTTAGATGTTTTATTGGGACAATCATATCAGCGCTTGTAAGTAGTCAAGATGACCTTGTATAAACAGGTTACCGAAGGGTTAAGCTTCCGATTCCTTCACGTCCTGCTGGCGACTCACATCAACCTAGGACACTTGTCCTAATATTTTCTGGATAAGACCACAGCTTTCTATGGAGGAAAATGTCGGTAGCTCAGGTAGCGTAGACGGTTGTTAGCTTGTTCGCTGAGCTGGGCAATTCGATTGCAAACGTTTCATCACCAATCGAGGTGACATCATTAGTGCGTTATTGGGGAGCGTAGTTGTGTGTAGCGGTGGGTAGGTGGTTGTGCGGTGAGTAGTGTTCCTTGTGTGTTGATATACGTGCTGGTAGCCGGGGATGACCTTTGACCAAGTCAGTAAATGCCACAAGCCGGAACTCTGAAGGACAATGGTCACTCCAACATCGACCAGGCTACGACGGCGAGAGATGCCAAGCTCAAAGAGCATGGGCGAATGAGGACACGGGATAACAGAACAACCAAGGGAACCGCCCGACAAACTAATCGCGGTCAAAGGTGATCCCCGGCTAACACCACTTATATTAACACACACGTAACACCACTCAACGCACAACCACCAACCCATCGCTACGCACAACTACGCTCCCCAATAACGCACCGATGATGTCACGTGGATCGGTGATGAAACGTTTGCAATCAGATTGCCCAGCTCAGCGAACAAGCCAACGACCAAGACCACAGCTCTACTCTTAACCCTGGTTGCCGCGTTAAGACCACGGGTTGGCTAGGTAAAGTCAGCCACCGAAGAGACCACAACTGGCCGGAACAATCGCGTTGGTCATCGCACAATCCTCATCCGCCTTCAAGTATTCATTCGGCTAATTTGCCAAACCGACACTAGCTGATACGGAACGTCATTTGGGTCCCGGGTGCTTTTTAATCCATCAAGTGATGTTAAAACTCACGCGCTGCTGTGTACGCGATTTTGTGAGGAATAAGTGTGGAGAAAAGTAGACAATTTTTTATCAGAATTACTTTGTAACGTTTGACCAAAAATGGCCAAGAGAAACTCCAAAGTGTTTTCATCATCAAGTGAACTGTTTTCTGTCAGACTTGGTAAAGGCGAATGAATTTATTTTTTGAGTGCTGGCAAAATGATGCTTGAAAAATAAATAAATAAATAAATAATTACGGAGAACAGAGAACGGTAATGGATTTATCAAAAACTATGCATCGATTTATGGGAATGCATCATTTCGTGGTCCGGTTGGATTGTACTGGCAGTAGTTCAGACAACGAAAGGTGATCAGCTGCGTCTCCGTATTCAACTGATATGGTAGGGATCCAGAGATCGCTGATACTCGCCATACTGAACACTCGGGCCACCACTCCATTCCATGTGATCGAAAAACGTTACATTCGTTTGGGACTGATTGACCATTCGCAGTTCACAAACTGTGATCCGATTTTGGCCTTGATGGAGGTATTGTTTCGGAATGAATAGCCTTTTTTGTGGTCCCAACTTCTGATCAAAACGTCCAATCACGTGGCTGTTCACGGCGATAATCCCCTGAAAGTAGGTGACAGTTCATCAGCATATTACACAAGTACTTAAAAATAGTCTGAGGAGGGATCACTGCGGCATTTATTCCATCACGTTAACCGATGCGAATTTTAAAAGCCCCGTATCGAGATTCCCATTAGATCACGTGTGGTTTCGCTAAAACTTTCATGATCGCCTAGATACGAAAACGTTACTTGCAGGAAAAAGTATTCAATTTCCAAGGCTGGCAAGTCATCCGTATAACGGCTTTGTAAAGTTTTCTTTCCCAGTAGCGTGTCAGTTTTGAGAATGTAGAATTTGGTGCATAGACGCAAAACGGACGCTAACCGGACGGCCGGAATCTGGTAACGAACAGACCAAGTGCACCCGGTGCATACGACTGCATATGGTCCTCGAAAATTCAACTTGGTTTATCGGGGGTCTGTGTTGAAGCTGGATCACTTCAAATATGCTTCGCTTACCAGTCTGAGTGGGGCCTTTCACTCGCCAAATCTACCTGGCAGATGGAAACTCTCGAAAATGGCGACGTACACCGTGGGTGGGCTATGGTGTTCTCCCTGCTTGAATACTAAACAACAACTAAATAACCGATTCGAAACAAGCGATTTGGAAGAACATCGTCTGTGAGGTCTCCATGAAGTTTGTTTTAAGGACCCGAATTCGTTGGACAAAATTAGCGAAGTACACTTATTTGCGTATCAGTCTGGGTTTGCCGGGAGACTGACCTTGAACGCTTGTTTATGGAAGAGATTTCGAAACAAGCGGTTTAGAAGAACATCGTCTGAGGTCTCCATGAAGTTTGTTTTAAGGACCCGAATTCGTTGGACAAAATTAGCGAAGTACACTTATTTGCGTATCAGTCTGGGTTTGCCGGGAGACTGACCTTGAACGCTTGTTTATGGAAGAGATTTCGAAACAAGCGGTTTAGAAGAACATCGTCTGAGGTCTCCATGAAGTTTGTTTTAAGGACCCGAATTCGTTGGACAAAATTAGCGAAGTACACTTATTTGCGTATCAGTCTGGGTTTGCCGGGAGACTGACCTTGGACGCTTGTTTATGGAAGAGATTTCAACAACCTTGCAAGTTGTGTATCAAGTTTATACCTGTATCATACAAACCGAAAGCTGAGGCGACCTGGTGCAGCACATCTAGTTGCTCGAAAACATCATAAATGAGATATTCAGCCAAGTTTGATGTCAGCTTACCGTCAACCCGTCGCTGCTGGTACAAAAACAACTCCGATCGTCCCAGTGATTCGAAACAAGCGGTTTGGAAGAACATCGTCTGTCAGGTCTCCATGAAGTTTGTTTTAAGGACCCGAATTCGTTGGACTCAGCTTCACTGCAGCTGTTTCTCATATGAATACAGCTTGAAGTTGTTTACAACGTCCAAATACACAGTTTGTGACTCTAGATATCAGATCCGCTCAAAGTTTCTATCCACTAAAACCTTCAAGTGAAATCTCTACATTGGACGGGATAAAACAACGAATGTAACAAACCTTGCCAAAAACTCGGTGAAGCTTGCGTGACTTTATCTTGGATGACCCCCTCGCTTCCAACAGACCTTCGTAGTAAAATCAAATGATTCTCAGCCTACTGTGGGCACGTGGCTACAGACATCATGACAAAACGTTAAAAGTACTGTGGACAACATCTGACAATCAGGTCAGATAAAATGAACTGTGCGAATAGTCCCGCCTGAACTCAAATGCTTTCAAAACGCCAGAAGATTTGTGTCAGACAAATCAAGGTCAGATAAGACAAATCTTTGGACAAGATATAACTTCGACTGAGTGTTTAGCAAAACGTCTCTAATAGGATTGAACACTTACACGACTGAAACCTCCAGGCTCAATAAACGTATCCTCCGGTTGATCACCATCCTGAATGAGAAGCTCCCCACTGTAAACTGACCCTTGTTCCGGTAGTTTTTCGATCCCTTGCGGAAAATCGATTCTGTGAACGAAATAGATGCGTGAAACTACAATTTGTTTCGCTTAGAGTTCAGCTAACTGAGCTTTGTTCAAACGAGCTGTGGAGCATCAGCAGTTTAAATGACAATCATTCGTGCTAATCGATAAATCCAACTGAACTTCATCCACCTAAGACATTCGTCTTAGCAAAACCCGTGGTTTTGTGGTTTGTAATGAAAAAAAAGGTTCGGTCAGTTCCCGGAAGCAGAAGGAATATTTGCTGTTGGTTTTTAGCCATGGCTTTTTCTCATGAACAGCAGTAGTATTGACGGTCTTTTTCTTTTATTTCCGGCGTTAAAAGTTCACAAACATGCGGGTGTTTTCTGCACTTAGCAATACGTGGGTCAGCATTTCTCACGAGAGTCGGTACAAGTTCCCGGATATAAGACAGTAACTGGAGGCTTACTCGTTAGTTTCGAGTGGGGATTTGAGCGGGATCATCACCCAATCACATAAGATTTGTCCGTTCAAAGTTACGTTACCCAGTAGTCCCTGAAAAGGCAAGGTATATATTGTCATTGAAGTTACTCACATTCATAGTAATTCGATGCACCATTATACCTGATGGAACTGTGATAAACTATTTACAATTATGTGTACTGTTGTAATCGAAGAACCATGAAATTTTCAGTTGAGTAATCACTCAATAAATAGCCACGTGATATGGACAGTGTGACTGGTGAATAATTTGCGCTCTATGCGAAATAACCTCGCTGCTGATCGGTCACTCAAAGTCAGAAGATTTAGCCTTCAGTCACTAAAACAAAACGGTTCTATAATGTTTCCTGGCTGCTTTCTTACGGGAAGACTTTACATTTACGACAAAGCGTCGACTTGACTTTCAAAATCTCAGATCCTCAATAAACGGCATAAAGTATAGTCCTTTGACTTCACGTTTGGTGGACCTTACGTTGAAAGGAATGTTTGCGTCAGCCGTGGTCGAATAAGCGTATCTCAGTAGGATCAGAGAGCATCAGGTTCTAATGCAGCGTGTGTAAACCACTTGGTGGACCCCCCATTAGCATCAAATCATCCCCAGATTTTCACCGAGACCATTCCTGAGACTTGTGTTTGAGGCGACGTAGCGTATTTCTCGTTTGTTCGCACACAACTGAATTCCCCTTCGTCTTGTCTGTCGATGAAGTGACCTCAATCTGTAAAAAATGGCCGATTGAAAAGTTGATTCCAAAAATCAAGAGAGCAAAGAAATTGGTGAAGCCATTGCGGGATAATCGTAGTTGGATTGTGTCACTGGCATAACTGATGTGAACAGCAATGTCGAAGTGGAACATTCTGAAGACATTTCACATCGAATCGTAACTTTTCCATACCTACTTTGAGTTTAGACTGAATAGAAACAGTTTTCAGCTAAGTACACTCATTTGCATACTCATCTGGAACCCAGATGAACCCCACGTTTACTATGTTTTTCCCCTAAGGTATGGTTGTGTATGACGCTCTGTAATCTAACATATTTGTCTTGTTTCGCCACGCAGTCGGAGGTAATGCAGTCATTCAACGTGCGATATACTGTTAGTTTTACCCCTGACATTTGGCTACTAATATTCGATCTTTCCATTTTTCCAGTTTGATCTCATTTAGCTCTTCGGTCCTAATCACACGGACATATACTAGTGCATCAAAGAGGAAAAACGGCACTGAGTCGAGTAATTTTCGGGATCATGACCTTCAACCTTTTGGCGTATTGTGCTCAGAAAAGACATCAGATAGTGCACCAACTGCGCAATAAATGAAAACTCAAGTATACACTCATCTGCAAACTAATTTGGTTCTTTCGAGAGACTCCCCTGGAACCCAGCTGAATCTCTCGTTTATGATGTTTTCAGGCAACTGAATGTGCTGCACCAGGCCTCCTCATGTTTCAGTCGCTACGATATTTGAAATATCGCGATACATGTATATATGTGTAATGCCTGAGAACATCGTAAACGAGAGATTCAGCTGGGTTCCAGGTGAGTGTATATTCGCTAATTTCATGCAATTTTGTTTCAAGCGGAACATTAGATTGACGGAAATCCGGGGACTGCGCCTACCTGATGAGCCCCAAGAAGAGCGAAACCGGTCGTGGGCTGCCGATGGATTTTCAGCAACCTTATGAGTAGTACATTACAAATATAAAACTCAAGTAGTCTACGTGACACTTAATTTGCAGCATTCCATTATGTTTCAGAGTTGTATTCTGAAACAAAACCGGTGTTTTCGAGAAGTACACTCATTGCAAATCAGTTAGGTTTTTCAAGAGAGACTCAACTGAATCTCTCGTTTATGATATTCTACGACTGAATGTGCTGCACACAGGCCGCCTCATGTTTCAGTTGGCACGATATTTGAGATGTCGCAGTATATTTTCATATAGGAAAGTACTCACAAGGTTGCTGAAAACTCTTCGACAGCCCACAAAAGGTTGACGAAAACTTGGGGACTGAGCCTACCTGATGAGCCTTAAGAAGGGCGAAATCGGTCGTGGGCTGTCGAAGAGTTTTTAGCAACCTTCTGAGTAGATTCCTTTATGAAAACGGTGTTTATTTGACCTATTATTCTCGAAATAATTTTGTTTGCTGCGCTGACAAGCCCTTTTGCTTGAGAATGCGCAGCTAAAACGAAGCATTTGGCCTTCAATCCTGCTCTCTGTATTCTTCTTCTCTTTTTGTTGCGTTCAGTGTTTTTCGGCCAATTGGTGGTACCTTGTCTTATGGCTGTGTGGTCCATACTCAGAAGAACCATGCCTGGCAGGTATACCTAAACACCTAAGTGTAGATGATCTCATTGGAAAATACTCCCTATGTCGATGCAGCGTGTCTCTTACCACACATCAACAAGCCTTTGATGAATCCGAAACTTTGTTGCAAATCAGTTACGGTGAAATTCCTATACTCGTGGAATCAGCAGTTGACACGTAAACAGCCTCACGGCTGATCTCTGAACGAGATTTGTGGTTCTACTGAGAAGTGTTGGGATGAAGCACTCCTTATATGGGTCATCGGCCTCTGGTGGCTGCTTTGGGTTCCATTCCACTTTCCTCACAAGTTCTTACCGTTCAGTGGGTTTTGGCCTGTGCTGCTGGCCGCAGACAGTGCAGTTTGTTAGCGATTCAAACTAGATTGCTTCCCAACGTGCTGGTTCCCACATTTTCCCATACTAGTTTGCACCACAATAAAATGATTGTAAGTGCCCTCTGCACAGTTGCACGCGATGTGGTCTCCCAAGGTACCGGTGCTGGCGATGAGGCAGACAGATTAGCCTTCTCCAGGTAGCGGTACGGTAGATGACGTTTGCTGTTCACAGCCAGCTGTCAAGCCTAAGAAATTTTGACTGGATCGTCGTTCAAGGCGTGAAGTAAACTTACCACATCGCTCAAGCTAGCTCATCCCTTGAGCACTGGATGAGTAAAGGTAACACACTCACCTCGCATATCAAATGTCAGGAGTTCAAACCCCGTCACGGACGAGTATGCATTTCGGATGAACTCCAATATTAACAGTCAAGCCGTCTGACGTGATTGTGAACTGTCTGTTTGGAGATAGTCGCTTACATGAGACGATATATCAGTATAGTCTTTTGAATAACGTCAAGCTAGTATGTTTCTAATGGCTTCAGTAATTGACCACCGATAAGAAAACACAAGCGTGATCTTGTCCTGAACACGTAACAGAATACCCACTCACCTTTATGTTGTTATACATTCCGCGGCCATAATTAACATAACCTGTATTTTCCAAAAGCAGCACTATATGCGTTTGTGCCAGCGAATCCCGAAGATCGAATCTGATCGTATTCCTCGGCCAGTCCAAAAGGCCGCGCCAACGCTGGACAAGGTCAGAAATGAGACCAAACAGATTATGACGGTCAGTTCAGTTGCTTTTTGCACAATCCTCCGAGAACTCAAGAGGATCTTAAATGAATACACCAATATTACTGGTAAAAGTACACATGTGCAGCTGCTTATTAGAACTAGTTGTCACAGCAGTTTGAAAATGAACCACAAAATGATGGATATATTTTAACCTCCTCGGTAAATTTTACACCCCTAGAAAATACGTTTGAATGTGACAATGTAAGCATAAAACGGAGAGCGTTTCAATTGTGAACGCATCAGAAGCGGTGACAGGTGGATCATTGCAGGAAACCCCCCTAGAATCGGTAGTCATTACTTAGGTTCTCAAATAGAAGCTCTCATTGAGTGCTTGTCCACTCGTAATTTTATGTAGACAATATTGCCGGGATGATTTCACCAGATAGTTCTCCGTTTGTGTTAGAATCACAAAATTTATTTAAAAATGGGGAACATGGCGTTAATTTCGGAAACGGTTCCACAAGATTTGAAATTCACCTGTACTAATTACTGTTTGTTATCACAATCACACAATGGCTTGCTTTTTTGCATTCAAACCAGTCCGGTTTGACCCCTGCAGCCTAGATTCCTTAGGGATCACCTGGTGAGGACCAGTCACCTGATCAATTATGTCTACTGGGCTTATCGGGTTCATTAGTAAATCATCAATCGCGAAACATTGAGGCAGTCGATCTTCAACTATACAGGGTAATAAGAAACGCCAAACAAAGCATTCCCAAATATAGCGAACTCGTTTTGTCGTTCTAAGCTTGTGGCCGTTAGTAAACAAAGGAATAATTTGAAATGAAACCTTTTTTACGACAGGCTATAAATGCGCTTATCAGATGACAAACTCCGAATCAATAGGGTTATAACTTGCAAACTTCTGTCAAGACGATTTCAACCAAGGGCTTTGTACAAGTACTTTAGATTCACTCTCTCACAAGCGGTACATATTATGCAATGCAGAATGCTGGAAGGGCGATAAATACTTTTGCAATTTTGAAAGCGCATTCCCAGATAGTCGACGTCATTCACTGGTAGTAATCGGGGAAACTCGGATTTACCATATGATCCAGTGGACTGGGGACTGCAGCGTACCGCCCCCCAAAACTAGCCAAGATTCTCCGGATACTCTTTTGACCACTCCGTTGAATTTCTGGCTCAACAAGACTTTGAAAATATTTGGTAGTTTCCAGACCTCTTTGAAAACAGCGATTTCGTTTTTTTGCTAGTTGACAGTAGACAATACTTTGAAATCAAGGTTTCGTTCAGTCCATTCAGTTTGCTGGTTGCACATCAGGGAGTGTCTAACTCCAAAAATTGTCTCTCCAAAAGGACTCCTGTCCATCTTATCCGAGGGATTTTGTATACACAACTCTCATGAAATTCGTCTACATCCAAAACATACCGTCTTCATGGGTGCAAATATTGCAGTCACATGGAGGTGAAACACAACCCATCATGCGGCTGTTTCAGATCAAAAATTCCAAATGGCGTGCTTGCGATTTGCCGATTTTGTTCTGCTTCAGCTCTTTGGGCACAGAGCTACGAAAGCAGAGGAATTTACTTCATGCTTGATGGCCCAAAGCGACATGGCGCCGAGACAGCTGACGCAGTCTGCCTCAGTAATGCTGCTTGGGAAACTGGGAATAAGGCACGCAGATCCGCAAACAGCATCGGGCAGAGAGCCACACGGCCACTCCTGAGCCAGAATACTATTCGGATTGAACAACTAACCTCCCGAAGGACTTCGTACGGGTATGCCGCCTTCGCAGTAGCAGAGAGCTTCTGTGTAGAAGCGTGTAAGATATGAAGTGAATAAGGCAAGTGCTAGAACACTGCTTCGATTCTCCACTGATTTCATATCGGGTCCACGTAAATGAGTAAGCCTAATCTGGATTTACATCTTGGTGTAAGGGACACAGATTGGGTTGCCCGAGGCTTTAGTAGAGTGGTCCAAACTGCCTCTTTGCTGGCTGAGCTAAAGTATTCCGTAGTACACAAAAAGTACACGAAGCAGTTGAATTGTTTCGTACAGAAATGGGGTAGCTTAATCTTCGGCTTTTTGGAAATCTGCGTCGTTCTTCTGAAACCTTACCACGCAGATAGTCGGCGCTTTATAGATTGAACAGGAAACCAGACGAAACGTACACAGAAGAAGTGTTTCACAGCAGTTGTCGATTTCTTTCCCCGTTATATGCTTGAATTAACGCTGGTTCCTTTAAATTTCAAAGAAGCACTCTGATCTCTTTGATTCCACATGGAGGACACAAAAGCCGGTCATTCTTACCTTTTCTTCTTCTTACAAATAATTCCGTAGGTCAGCTATGCAGCTCCACTGCCACCCCACATTTACTACAGGTTAAGTGAAATCTTCCCTCCTCTGGTTTTGAGGTAGTAAACTAAATATTTTGGGAGGGGTGAGCTATTCGCGAAGAAGCTGTCGTTGAGGAATATATGTGGCTCCGAAATTTCGTTTAATATTTCAAATGCTAGTTGGGGAGATCTCTGTATTTGTTCCCTTTCACATGTTCTGCTTTTACACATATAATGTGCTTAGGCTGATCTAAAGCACTGACTGGTTCTACTAATGAATCACTGTCCCACCAAAGCCGCTGCATGTCTTGTTGGCGCGTTTTTTCTTCGGTTTATATCGTGTCCCGTTAATAGACTATTTATGACCAGTATGTTCTATTCTGTGTACGAAACTCATTACGGTGGCCTTAAGGATTCCTGGTCACCACACACCTTCATCTTTTCAGGGCACACATCCATTAAGTTCACAGTAACTTTAGTACAAGTAGATGTAGAAAACCTGAATCAAACGGCTCGTTGTAAACAGGCTCCTTGTCTAGCTGCAACTCTTGGGGGAACCGATCAGTCATTTATTAAACCGTTTTTGTAGTGTTATCTAAGTAGCCAACAAGTGGACCGGGTATCTTGAGAAGCGTTTCATCATCGGCGAACTAACTTTGGACTGATTCAGTCGCGGTTTTGTAGGACTGCGTTTGGGCTGGTAGGTTAGTTTACTTTAACCTACCATTAACGAACGCAACAACGAAAAAGAAAACGCCAGACAGTTGTTTCTAGCATGAATTATACTTTACTTCTATCCCACTTTTATCTATTGGGATTCCTCCGAAACTTTATCAGGATTAGTCGTCATGACAACTAGGGAATTCGTCTGTAGAAAAGACCACGTAAACCGTGTGAACTCACAACACACGCAAGCTGATCGTCAGCTGTGAAGATGTGGGCCAAATCGCGGTAGTTTGCGAGGGTCAGTTCGACATCTGTTGGCGCACCTGGTATCTTAACGTAGTAAATCGTGAATCCTTCGTACTGAGAGTTAAGGGTGAGAGTAGAGGTGAGAATAGAACAGAATCACCCTGCAATTGAATGTATAAAGTAAATATAGAAGACACTGAGGATTAAATGAGGGGTTACACCAAACATTCTGATAGACGTTAAACGAGAGGTGGGTATGAGAACTAAGGCGGAGCAGACAATTCCAAACAACAATTCCAAACAAACTTTCCCTTCTTTTTGTCTTAGCCGTTAAGCTAACGATGGGTGTTGCGCCATGAGGAGACCAACAGAAGTAACAGTAAAGCAGCCGCTGAATTTCGATGAGAGTTTTGGTATGTTGCTGAAATCGTGGCAGCAAAAATGCATTTAAATTTGGATTTTCAAAGCATCAGTATGACTAACCGGCCATCTATCTATCTATCTATCTATCTATCTAACTACCTATCTATCTATCTATCTATCTATCTATCTATCT